TAATCGATTTCTTCATGCTTCTACGGCAGTTTTCATGTAGTTTGCGGCCATTTTCTACTGGCCAGAATAAGAGACTATAGCTGGCTGCCACGAATAAGCGGGAAGATTCTATTGGTCAGTGTGAGAGCCAACAGCTGACTGACACGAATATTAAGTAGCATGCTAGCATGCAAAAGAAATCGATAGCTGCATTCGTCACAAGTGGGAAAAATTTAAATCTGCATGACACTTTACTCCAATTGGCTCATTCGCTTGCTTAAACTCAACGTTGATTCTGATTCCGCAGAACTGGGTTAGGTGTGAAAAAGTATTTGTTGTTAACATTCTTTTTTCATTCGATTTTTCCAGTTACGAGTCCTTTTTTTAAAGCTGATCGTTTTGTGTTCATTTTGTTTAGTTCTTTTTCTTAACAGATTTAATGTTTAGTATAGAGCTTAGAAAAAAATTCGCAGTGAGATAGGCAAGAAGTAAGGCATGTAGCAACATCAGCACGGCAAAGGGCACTCCTTTTAAAGGCAAGGAAGGGCAAACATATTTTAAATCAAGTGATAGCGATTGCTGTATGACCATGCTGCTAGTTCTGAATAAAATATTTGACTCTTCCTACGCGCCATCCGATTTCTGTGTTGCATTTTCCATCGCCTGTTACTTAAATGTAAGGTGGTTAATTTTTTTTCACCTGTTAGATTCTGACGGCTCAAAAATTGGCCTGATTCTCTTATTGACGGTCATATATTTTGTCTTATAACATTTACTCTTCCTTCGCGAATAAACGCCAAGGGAATAATCTTAAGAGATTCCACGAATTATGTTGAGCCTACACGTTGAGTCTACAAGACGGCACTTATCTCATGACGTAAAAAAATATTTAATGACCTTCATTTTGGAAGATTGGAAAGCTTTTTAGTAGAATATAGCAAGAGCGACAGCGAAATGGGATGTGGCATAGCGAATAATGCCTTCTAGAAGCTAAGCAAAGTATCAAGAAATAGAAAAAAATCCACTACAAAGAAAAGAGTACTGAACTTTGACATAATGTCAGTCCTCTTATGTGAGAAGGAATGCCGAACAGTATCCTCACAGATGAAGAATATACTTCAGTCAACAGAAATGTGTTTCTACGGTAGGATGCTGAGAAGATTTAAAGAAAATGGAAACATAAACTTATCAGAAACATATAAGTAATATCAGAAAAACTAGTTGAAATTTCTAGGGCTCATAATGAAGAAAGAAGGCCTGGAAAATTTGACACTCACAGGACATACTGAAGACAAGAGAGATAGCGGAAAACAGTGGATAGCCTACGAATCTATGTAAATATTTGGAAGAACAGGGTTTAAGAGAGATGGTAAAAATACTTCATTTGCTTGGAGTTACAAGTTACAATTGTGAAGAGTTATGATGGTCAACCTCCAGAAGGAACATGGCACATAGAGCGAGAAATACGAAAATCTAAATAACTAGGATGTCTTTTAACAGAGGACAGAAAATGTGGCATGAAAATCCGGCGGTGTATTATAATAACGAAAGATGCTACCCAGGTGCTAGGCTAAGTATTAAGAAAAGGGACATTTTCATTAGAAACAAATAAAAGAGAACTATACTTATATGATATCGCTCTTCCTATGTGGCAATGAATACCGGACAATCTCCTCACCGATGAAGAAGAGATTGTGGCAGGTGAAATACGATTCTACAGGTGGATGCTGAGAATACAATAGGCTGAAAATGTGAACAACGAAGATTCTTTAAGAGAAATGGAATCAAAAAGGACATTTATAGTTCGAATCAGAAAAAAAAAACAAGAAATAATTTATGGTTGTTATTAAGTTTGACAGTCTAAAATACGATCCATAGAATTGGAAACGCCAAAATCAAACATTTACAGAACTATATAATTGTTTTTATGGCAAAGTATCCTGAAGGAAGTCACCCCTCTTTAGGAGGGTTTAACATTCAGGATTCTAATTCCCCTGGTTACTTCTAAAGGTTATAAGGCTCAATCTGCTAAACTATTAAAATTCGGTTTTGAAGTGTTAGAGTTGTCCTAGACTTGTTACCAATCACAGCTAGAGAGTTTAGGCATCGTGTTGTTTAACCCATATCTGGGGGTGTATTGGTAAATTCTTATCTTTATCAAGAGTATGTGAGCGAAAGGGAACTGTTACAGAAATCGAACTCGCTTTACCGGTTTTTTAGTTCCGATTCGCTGATTTTTGCACTAGCTGAATATCTTGAATAAAATGAATACAGAGGAAGCTTTACTTTCAGATCACTCCTCGCATTTCTTTTAATATCAAGCATGCAATACGCCCAGGTAGAAAATATGTTTTATTTTTTCATGAATTTAGCGATTACAAAAAAAATCATGGAAGTAATAATACACTGATGAATATACTAAGAAAGTTCGGGAATGGTTTTTCGGTGCATTATCTTTGCAAAAGAAAAAAGCAAAAAAAAAAAAAAGTACCCAACAAAACAAAACCAAAGAAAACGTACGTATGTTTTCGCGTGATCCGTTTTTACTTTTCGTAATACCAGTTTCAGTTGAAAATTTGATGCATTTCCCCCCCCTCACAAATATGATCGAAATCTTCTTCCTCAAAATAATGATTAAAAAAAAAAAAAAACAGTGTTGATATTTCGCCTAGAAAACCGCGAAAAGAAAAATATGGAAAAGACATGATTACAATTAGTGAATCCACAATTCAATTTGGTCCATTAACGAGGATTGCAAATGGACTTGCCTTCATTCACGGAAGAAGAATCCTCATCACATTATGCTACTGTGTCAACGAAACTCACAATAGTTACCTCCATCTAGAAATGAAACTTTTTATTCCCGCGCTGTAAAATCACTAAAAGCATTTCCCCATAACCGCAACAAATCGGCGATATTTCATTAACAATAGTACATTTCAATGAGAATTTCTTAGTTATACAAAATTAAGGTATATCAATATAAAACGGAGACTTGTTAAAAATTATTTTCAAAATAAATCCTCTTAAGTGGCCTGCCGTTTGATTAACCCTAATCAAAGATGATCAATGAGAGATTTAAAGTATTAAAAAATAAAACATAAAATACATTCTAAATAAACACACACATATACATAAATATATATACGTATGTATATATATATATATATATACGTATGTGTATATATATATATGTGTGTGTGTGTGTGTGTTTGTCTTTTGGATGTTGCATGGTATCGTGTAGGATATAGACTGGGCCCTACGCGATACCAAGCATTTACCAATGAATTTTGTTACGGACACACACACACACACACACACACACACACACACACACACACACACACACACACACACACACACACACACACACACATATAAATATATATAGGAAGCACAATACATATCTATCAATCCACATACAAATTCTTTGAAAATAATGGATAATGTATGATCATTATTTCCACAGAAATCAGAAAATGGTCCAAAAAAAATAATATATATATATATATATATATATATATATATAAATATATATACATATATCGCTGTGATATAACAGAGCTATTAATATATATTAATAACTGTACATATTATTCCTCACCGGTTGCACAACACGGAGTTTCATGCACAATCATATAATAAAATAAAATAAAAGAATAAGGCGTAAGAAAAAGCTGCTAGTCGACCAACTTAAATTATAACAGGTAAATTTAAGAAATAAAAAACCTATTTTTACTTGTAAGAAGACAGTTGCCGTCTAGAAATATATATAAAAAAAGAGTTTCAGAATGAAGTTGAATCAGTCGGAGGAAACATATTTGAGAGAGATTTCATTATCAATCTGACATTGGCCAATCGTTGATCCAAACTACTCTGCGTGTGTTTCGACATTGTAGTTCGACTGTCCATTCTCAATACAAATTTCAATGAAAAAATATTTTGCCTTCCTGTCGTAATAAAACGAATAAACTCCTGTAAAAACACATAGAGGTGCAATGAATTCCGAACATATAAGAACGATATTGCAGGCTGATTTGTAATACCATGGTATAAGGCTTTTAGAGACAACCCGTCTTTTTATAATTAGTTCGTTATATCATAAACACATGAAAAGATAAACATACCATATATGCTGGCGTACAAGGCGACTGGGCGTATAAGTTGATCCTCAAATTTTCTATTGTAGGTTTCAGGCTATATTCGCTGTACAATATAACCACCACCAACTCGTATTTTAAAATGTATTGTATTGAATTTATTAAATAAATTCAGTAAACATAATTACTTTTCACTTAAATTCTAATGAAAAAAACGGTGGAAAATGTTGTCAATTAACTAGCAAAATACCTCATGAGTGGGTGTTTTCGATGGGCTATTAACGGTAGCCTGAATGGATTTTTTCTGCTAACCACCTACTCTTTCCATGAACCTCAAACACTATTTTTAAACGGCTCGTTAAGACTCACATCTAGATATATTTTTGTTCAACATCATGGAAAAAAGGAGGCGAGACAGGGGTGAGTCTGTCGTTAAAAATCTCTTATGGTAACAACTTACCATAAACAACAGTATATAAGGTTCACATTTATTCCTGGAGTATAAGACGGTACGTTATATTGGCGGAATTTTTTAAGGTTAAAAGGTCGCCTTTTACAACGACATATACGATATGTCGAATGGTACATTTCGTTTGTATTTTACAATAAAAGAGATAATTCAAGCCAAATAGCGTTAATTATTTTGATTGGGTGATTCGGTTTCTACGGTGTATCAACACTTTTAAGTTTATTTAAAGCCAGGAAATATTTTTCTTAGAAGTTTTTGGTGGGTATAGAGGTGGTAATACTTCACTGATACAAGTTTAATTGACGCATATCTGGGAGACAAGAAGTGCATTCATAGGTTTCTCCAAAGGTATTTGCGCGTAAGTTAATATAATCATCACAACGGGAATTGGAACTTCGCTCTCCTATTAATAATTTCGAACCGTTATCCATTATGTCACTCACACATGCAAGGCTTACATCACCTGATATTCTCAAGTAGTCATCCATCCAGGTACTATCCAGGGTTGACATTGCTTAGCTTCGCTGATCGTATGGGATCCGATATTTCAACGTGATTTGGCCGTAAGTTTTGGTTTGGTTTGATTTATTGTGTTTTACCGTATATCAACCTCAATGTGTTATTTAATGCCGACAAAATGTTCATTGTTGTAATATTTTGTTTTGTCAAAAATATATTTTTGGTAATATATTTTTTTTCGAAAATGTGTTGCTGGTAATAATTTTTTTCAAAGGAAAAATTACTGATAATATTTTTTCCTCAAAAATGTATAGCTGGTAAATTTTTTTTTCAAAAGTATGTTGCTTGTAATAGATTTTTTCTTCAAAAATTTCTTGGTAGTAATAGCTTTCTCTTTTTCTGCAAAACATTATTGCTGGAAATATATATATATATATATATATATATATATATATATATATATATATATATATATATATATGTTTTTTTTTTACAAAGTATTTCTGGTATTAAAACCTATTTTTACACTTTCATAGAGTTTTTGCCACAGTTTGGGGCTTAACTATTTGCCCATACCTGGGACCCTAACAGGCACTACTACTCCGGGTCAGGGCGGATCTGAGGTGGTTCCACGCTTCTCAAAACCGCCTGATCAGAGGCCTTGCTGTTGGACGTAGTTTATCGTCTTACCCAGGACGCGGATGTAGTTTTTCTTCATAGGCATTACTGTGATGTGGCCTTAAGTCCTAGCGCTAATTAATACAATTTTTATACAGAACAGTAACTTATGCAGATACTCTGTGTAAAGCTTTTTTTTATATTATTATATAATCTAATTCGAATATATATTATGATTATTTTTGTTTCACACTAAATATAGAAATGCAAGCATCTGGCACCTTATTTTGGAGATGGTAAATAAAGTTTCCTCGAAGAATCCTCGGTATAATACTAATCGGAGGATTGTAGCAAGAATAATCAACCTGTTAGGTGGCTAATCTTCTACTTCTATGTACCGCGTTTCTTCAGAACAGGCGACCATAGCCCTCGACATCTTCCTATCCCTTGAGGTTCTTTTCTCGTGGTTCCTCTTACCTTTTCACCGTCCATTCTCACAAGCTCGTCAGTTACGTGATTCGCTACCCACCTGACTTTCCCTCAGTATATACCATGAGGGTTAAGTCTTCCAAGCCCTCAGTCCTCATTACAGTGACTTTCTAACCGTAGTTTAGATGTGGCAAAGTCCAAAGATATTGTTCACCTGGTGCGGGCAGAAATCACTATTCACGCATAATGAATCTTGCGAGAAATACTTGCTATACATTACACCGTGTCAAAGTGTCCATATCATTCCCTAAGCGTTGTTTCATTATGACACAAGGCCGAAATATTGAAGCACTGATGATTGATCTAGGGAGATAAGCTTGTTAACCATTTCACCACGTCGAAGTACCCTTTTTGCTCTTAATTTTTCTCCCTACCACATTGTCTGCCCAAGAAATTTCAGCAGTCTTTTACTGTTTCTGAGTATATATTGTTCTTTCTGTTGTTATTTTCTTTAAAAACTTCCTTGTTGCTTACTTACTCAGTTCTAGGAATTTTCGTTAAAATATTCAAGAGATACAATTGATGATTTATTATTGTAAAACTTGGACGATTTAGGTCAGTCATTGGGAAACTTTAACCCATTTGGCCTTCTGAAAGGCACACCTAATTTAATGAGGAAAATACCGTTTATTAAAATGTATTTTGTTTGATTTTCACTTGTTCACTCACATTCTCTCTCACGCGGAATGTTTGAAAGAAGCTGTTGTCAAAGAGGAAATAACTATTAAAAGCCTGAGTAACCTCCCTTACTTATTAATGTCTGTTGCATTGTGAATATAGTTCGACTAAACCGTATACAGAACAATGATTAAGTACGATGTTTCTTTGATTTTATAAACTTTCCTTGAAGGTAACACCATTTTAAACCATTGGCAATTTTTATTAAGGAAGATCATACCTTTAAAAATATTTATTTTTCGAAACAAGAAACGTTCCTATAAATTTTTTCTTTGGAGAAGAAATTTATATTTTCTTTTAAGAGTATATTTTTTGTATTTTCGAAAGAATAAGTCAGAAGCAAATCACGCGCTGCTGCATATGCTAATCACTGTGTCATCACAGATAATATTATACGAAATCTTCAATTTTTTAATTGGAGAACAAAATCGTTTCTCAAAATATGAACATTTTGTCCATTTCTAAGGCACATACTTAAGCGTATGATATTCTGTAGAGAAAATGGCCGCTTTACCTTCAACGAAAAATTAATTTGAATTTGTTGTTTTTTATTATTGCAGCCCGCCTTATGAGGAGTCACAATCTCATGCGCCCCAGGTTGTTCATTCCTGATTTAGATTCAGGTTAGGTAATTTAACTTTTCGACTTCTACAACCGAATCAAGCGACAAAACACAAAAAAAGTCTTTCTTATACTATAGATATATGAATAGAGAGCGAAATTTCTCCATGAATATGGAATACCGTGAAGACGTTAATCTTGAAAGGCACTAAGGAAGCACAATACATATCTATCAATCTACGTACACATTTGAAAATAATGAAGAATGGATTCGGTTCAGAAGATACTGGATAATGTACGATCACAGTCTCACGGAAAATAGAAAATAGTTCAAACCATTAAAAAATAAATAAAATAAAATTGATTCACTGTGTCGTGAAAAGACAGTTTTTCTTTCCAGAATCTATCTTACATATTTATGTCTACTATTCGTCCATGCTTAGAATCTTTCTGGCGCATATGGTCCGGTGTCCAGGTGATTTACCTTGAGCTCCTTGATAAAAAGTCAAAGAAGAATCAGTAAAATTATTGATCCTAGTCTGGTGGCTCGATTTCAGTGACTTTCACGCTCCTGTAAGGTTGACTCTCTGTGTCTTTTCGAATAATTCTTTTATTGTATCTCTCTATATTTCTGAGATGAGTCATTATGTATATTATTTAGATTATTCGGACTATTGTCCTCATCTTTGTCACCATATTTATCCCAACGTTTCGACCGTTGTACGCTCCGGCCTTCTTCAGGTGGTTGGAATGTCGAACCGAACCCTTTATTTCGCTCAAGGACACATGGCACAGTGGATAAAGACGTTGGTTAGATCCAGTGACATAACCCAAAGAGTGTGAGTTCAATACCCGGCTAAGGCGGTGGAGAACTTTCAGAGGGAAAATTAACAGGAGATAACTGATAACTGACATCCATCATGTTTGAACTAGAACAGTCTAACCCAGTGAGCGAAATAAAGGGTTCGGTTCGACATTCCAAGCACCTGAAGAAGGCCGGAGAGTACAACGACCGAAACGTTGTGATAGATATGGCGACAAAGATGCGGACAATAGTCCGAATAATGTATTTTATAGTATTTTGTTCGGATGAGTTGTTCGCTATAGTACCTAGCTTTTTTTAAAAATTTAAACACAATGCTAGACGAGCGCCGAGATCTCATCAATTTACAGTCGAGATGGTTAGATGTAGCCATGAGTTCCATGCTAACAATTTTTTTCTCCCACTTCTCGCTTGTGAAACTCTCAGCCTGATTCTTTTCAGTCAACTTTAATCTGCAAAAAATGAAATTTCAATAGCCATCTACTCTCCTTTTAGTTACTCCTTTCTTGGTTGTTTGTCTAGAACCTTATCGATCATGCAATCTCAGAAATTTTCAATAAGATTGTTGTCTGGAATGTTGCAGAACAATTCCATTGTATTGGCCTTGAGCTTCTGCATACCTGCATTCTCTTTGAGGCATGATGCAGCGTCATGCATATATATATATATATATATATATATATATATATATATATATATATATATATGAGTAACTTTACACATACATATGAATTTCTACTTTCTCCTGCAAATTTATAGATTTTTTCGTCACGATGCGTGTTCGTTTCAGGTTTCAGGAAATATAAACCAGGTTTTTTTTTCAAAACACATCTATCTGGTAGGTTGTTTACTTGTTTTAATGGTATTTTTCTCAAAAAATGTTCTGAAAGCCTTCGAACAGCTGTAGTGCAATCTATTCTGCGAAATTGTCCAATGTTCTCTGATATAGACTAGTTACTCAATCAATGTTGCTCGAGTTTTCTTTTTTTTATAGGCTGAGTATTTTAATATAGGAAGATAAGGGTTTATCAACGGCATCTAACCAATTATGTTTGATATTTATTTCTACATTCTATACCCCTTCAGGACGGAATCGATCAAGTCTCTTCCCGTGTTTATTTTTTTGTTTTATTTTATTTTATTTCTTATTTGTGGATTGCGATAAATTCTTGCGGATGTAAATGGAGTTTTCTCTTTTTCAGACTTGATGCCAAACAAGTTTGGAGAATCCAGTGGGATCTTTTCCCGTAGCCGAAAGAAGAAGATATGGATTCATCCATGGCTTTATTTTTTTATTTTTTTTTTTATAAAATTATTTAATTTTAAGTAATATCATTTTATATATTTGAAATTAATGTTGCTCAAATTTGGAGTCGGCTGAGATATATTTTGACAATTTCGAATTTATCAATTTAGCAAAAGTCCGGAACCGACCCACTCCCCACGCCGCCGCCTGCGTTCTAGTCAGATTAGGACTTACTGCTTCGATCTTATAGGGATTTTCCAAGCGTGGCTTAGATGTGACACAGGGCCGAAAGCATGGGGCACACAGTGAGGATCGAACTCACTATACAGTCGTAATTGTTCTAGTGAGACAAGCTTGCTAACCATTACACCAATCCGAGGTGCTTACTAGCGATTTTCCAAGCGTAGCCCAGATGTGGCACAAGGCCGAGTGTATGGGGCACCCAGTGAGGATCGAACTCACTATACAGTCGTAATTGTTCTACCGAGAGAAGCTTGCTAAACATTACACAACGCCAAGGTGCCTACTAGCGATTTTCCAAGCGTAGCCCAGAGGTGGCACAAGGCCGAAATTATGGTGCACCCAGTGAGGATCGAACTCACTATACAGTCGTAATAGTTCGAGACAAGCTTGCTAACCATTAGACCACACCGTGGTGCATACTAGCGATTTTCCAAGCGTAGTCCAGTTGTGGCACAAAGCCGAAAGTTTGGGGCCCCCAGTGAGGATCGAACTCACTACTCAGTGACAATTGTTCTAGCACGACAAGCTTGCTAACCATTACATCACCTCAAGGTGTCCACCTGGGATATATTTTATTCAGGGATGGGCATGTCTACCGTCTTGTAAAGACGCGAGAAGTTCTAAGAAACGTAGGAATTCTGACAGGCTGATTGATATTGGAATAATTTATATTTGCGATAAAATCATGCTTATATTATTGGTTGATGCTGGAAGTGTGCAAATATCTTGAACGAGCAGTACATGCATATTGGAAACTGAGGCCAGCTATTGACGTTAATTTAAAATCTAAAAATAAAACTAAATGTATGTAAATGTTAACGGATAATAATGGAGATAAATTTTACCAGATATACCGTAAATTGTCTTTCGACTTGTGAGTGATAATTGTAATGATTTCGTTTAATATTCAGTGCGGTAACTGAAATAGCAGACACTGTTCATCGTATGAGCAAAGTGGAATGCTTACAATGTTTAAGATAGAGATGCGTTCTAATATGAATTATTTAAAGAGGAAGAATATGGAAAATATCAAAACAGTAAATTGACAATCATAGCGAAATGAAATTCTTGTTTTAATCAATCCATTCTAATTAGAATTATTTGCTAAATTATACAATTAAACAATTAAAATACTTGGAGGATGCGGGGTCCTTATTAATGAGGATTCAATTAAAGCAGAAAAAAAAACAAAAGGCCTGAAATGTTTTCCTTTTATTTCCTATAATTAAGGAGCTTCTATTATTCAGCACAACCACAGGCAGACGTAGACACACACACAGATACATACTTATATGTGCGTGTATCTATAACTACAAAAACGGGTTGGTGTTGTATCCTTAAAGAGGTTACAAACAGACAAAGGTGGTATCGAGTGAAGGAATAGCAACACGCGCGTAGATAAAAGAAAGAGAGGTCTATTTAAAAGAGTATACACTACTGAAAGAAAGTAAATCGGGTGGCAGGATAGTCATTCCAGAAGCAAGCCCCGAGGTATATCCTGTGCACACTATTTATAGCTACTAATATAGTCAGTCAACATAGGCAATAGGGAGTGTGGGACATTACATTACAACAGTCGGTTATATATATTGTCCAGGTTATTTGAAATATTTTCATTTTAGCTACAAAATTTAGACGGAAAATAAATCTTAATATCTACATCTGAGAAAGCTTCAATTTATAAAATTAAAATACATTACTACTCATAAAAGATGTGGTGACTTTCTATAATCCAATGTTTTATCACAATGAATATTAGTTTTTCATATATATATATATATATATATATATATATATATATATATATATAGAGAGAGAGAGAGAGAGAGAAAGAGAGAGATTTTGAGACTAATTGAGATAGAAAACGTACAGACTAAGTGAGATAGATAGATAGATAGATAGATAGATGGATATGAATAAGCGAATATAGAAACATACAGACTGAGATATCTATCTATCTATCTTTCTCTCTCTCTCTCTATATATATATATATATATGTATATATATATATATATATATAGAGAGAGAGAGATAGGAACTGATTGAGATAGAAAACGTACAGACTAAGTGAGATAGATAGATAGATAGACAGATAGATAGATAGATAGATAGATAGATAGATAGATAGATAGATAGATAGATAGATAGATAGATATGAAGCACCAATTTCCTGCCAAGTTAGTTCGGAAAAATCAATAAAATATTAATGTAGAACCAAGAAAATCTGCGAAAATCAATTACAAATTGTAAAAATCGCCAACTGTTTTTGTGTACACTCTAAATCCATACAAATATAACTGCTAACGCCCAGAGTCCGATTAGAGTGTAATTAGTGAAGCATTCTTTCTTTTGATTTTAGTATCAATAGGATTATGAGCGTGGATCAATTAGTCCCTAACTCAACACACTCAACAATCAAAATTCGATCAACATTGATCCAAGATATTCTCCCTATAATATCTGCTCTTTCTTATTTGCAACTGAATTAAGTGTATAAAGACAGAATGAAAGAACATAATGTTTAATATAAACTATTTTTGTTCATTGGTTTGCCGAATTTCCAATGTACCTACGTAAAGATTGTTTACTTCAGATAATATCTTATAGTTTTACCGAAGACACGAGGAATAGAAGTAAAGAATGCACAAAGTGCCTGGTGATCTTCAGTGAACAGATGGCGGAGCAGGGCTTGGGAGTATTGGCGAAAAGACATTTATTGAGAACACCAAAGGACAGAAAGTTGTGGAGAGACTTGATCGCCATCGTCCTAAATGAACATGACACAAAGAAGCAGAATTAATCAGTATGGATACCGTACGACATTGAAATAATTTATTTCATCCTTGTCATAGTGTTCTTCCTATTAGATGACTTATTAATCTTCGTTCGTTATTTTGGTGCGCCATTTTGTTAGCGTATTGTATTCACTTCACAAAGAATATTCAAGTAAGACAAAATCCAATTTTAAACGCATTTCATTCACTTTCTAACCGTGGCGACGAGGCTTTCCTTTGTATTTTCTACAAATATTTTCCTGGAAACAGTCCTGGTGATCTTTTTCCATAGTGACTCAACTACATGAATTTAATCATGCTACTAGTCTGTCGCGACAGGTCTCACCGTTTCACTCTTGAATTAGCTTGATGCAACCGCCACTTCTATTCTGTTTCTTATCTCGAACTTTGTCAGTCGCCCGGTTCACACTCCTCCGCATTCTTTTGAACAGGAGTATACGTTTATCACTTGTTTACTATTGGCTTACCAGTTTCTTCTAAACTCTATTTCAACTCTCTGCATCTAACGTTTCCGCCTAAATCTCTGAACTTGTATTTACTATTTATAGTTTTTCCTCAATAGGAGGAGATGGGTTTGCCTGTAGTCTAATTCATAACCACACCCCTTCCACTGAATTTCGAATAGGAGTAGAGATTTATTTCTTGTTTCCTGTTTACGACTGGGTTTCCGGTTCATTTTGAAGTCTTTTCTTTCTCTTTCACTTCCGGTGGCCCATTACGTCTTGGTGGTATTATCACCTTGATTCGTAACTCTCTACTTGGTGTGGCTCTTGGGCCTTGTGCGAGGTTAACAATACAACAAAATATGTCACTTAGGGAAATCCCTTCCAATTTCTTGATTCCCTGCCACTAAAATTTTTCATAAATTTAAATGCAATGACAATCGCAATCTTGTGTCTTCTTACACCCTGTTTCTTTATCGTCCTTTCTTCTCTTCTTCTCACTAAAGTCTTCTCATTCTCTATCACTCCCTGTAACTCTCTGTGTTCTAGTGTCATTATCGCCTTTCTTGGAGTGAAATGATTAAATAAAGTCTTTTCACTCTTGGTAATTTGGCGTATCACTTGACTTAAAATATATTTGCCCTTCCTTGCCTTTAAAGGAGTGCCCTTTGCCGTGCTGATGTTACATGCCTTACTTCTTGCCTATTTCACACTGCGAATTTTTTCTAAGCTCTATACTAAACATTAAACCTATTACGAAAAAGAACTAAACAAAATGAACACAAAACGATCAGCTTTAAAAAAGGACACGTAACTGGAAAAACCGAATGAAAAAAGAATGTTAACAACAAATACTTTTTCACACCCAATCCAGTTCTGCGGAATCAGAATCAACGTTGAGTTTAAGCAAGCGAATGAGCCAATTGGAGTAAAGTGCCAATGCAGATCTAAATTTTTCCAACTTGTGACGAATGCAGCTAGCGATTTTTTTTGCATGCTAGCATGCTAGGTAACATTCGTGTCAGTCAGCTGTTGGCCTTCACGCTGGCCAATAGAATTTTCCTGCCTATTCGTGGCTCTCACTCTGGCCAGTAGAAAATGGCCGCAAACTACATGAAAACTGGCGTAGAAGCATGAAAAATTGATTATTTCCACTATCGATGGGAGTTGGGAAATGCAACGTCGGTCTTGGCCTTCCCGCTAACTTGGAACATGTGCATGTAAATTTTGGTGCAAATCCGTCGAAAATTGCGGCCGTGCATTCGTTACACACACACACCCACATCATGCCCCTTATAGATAGAGATTATAATCAGAAAGATACATTTTCAAATTACATGATGCCGAAAAGAGCAGGTAACGTACTTAATTATTTCGGTTTGGATTCATGGATAAGAGAACAAGGACAAAGAGAGTTGGTAATGATTCATATGTTACATAGAGGTTGTAGAGAGCTATGATTGATCACATTCTGAAGGAATATGTCACATACACGAGGAATCATAGCTGCAAAGTACGGAAAAGATGTTTAATAACCGTGATATGAAAAGAAAACAGTAACCCCCTCCTTATTTTTACTCCTCGTGTTATGTAACGTAATCATAAATTAATGATTTAAACTGCGCCTTTAAGTACCAATCAACAGCGATCTTCTGTTAGCGGTTCCAATTAATATAGGCATTTGGAAGAGCAAAGTTAGTTTCTTAATGATATTATGAACGAATGGATGAATAAACTGGTAGTTAAAGTCAATAGGTTTATTTTAAATGATAGAATGGAGTAAGACAGCAAACCAAGATTATCTTTTAGGAGATTGGCTTTCTTTACTTCTATCAAAATAACGTTCTTCCCGATTTCCATTATTACATTATGTGTGCATTTCTTAACATCCCAGCAACAAATATATAATTCATTGGTTACTGAATGATTATTTCTAACTGAATCAATCACACATCTTGTTTACGAAATATATTTTTATAGTTTCACTTTCTTGGCTGTCGGATAAGTATTTATTTATCCTATTTATATTGTTCGAACGCTTGCTCTAAAGTTTGTCGTCATATTCACAAGGTCTCGGCCGTTGTACGCTCTGGACTTCTTCAGGTGATTGGGATTTCGAAACGAATCCTTTATTTCGTCCACGAGGGTAGATTGTCCTAGTCCCACGCGCCATGCCTCTTCCCGGTATCTCAGTTTCAGTTATTCGCCTCTAACTCAACTCTTCAAGTTGTTGTTCTCCTCTGCTGTGGCAAGGTATTGAACTCACTGCTCTTTGCGTCAAGTCACTGAATTAATTCAACCAACGATTTTATCCTCTGTGGCACGTATCCTTGATGAAAGACTACTCCGGTGGATGAAATAAATGTTTCGTTTATAAATTTCAATCACATGAAGAGGGCCGGATCGTACAACGGCCAAAACGTTGTGAATATGACAACAAAGATGAGGACAACATTACTAACAATGTAAATAGTGTAAATACTTACAATACCTCATCTCAGAAATGTAGACAGATATTGATAACTATTTACAAATGAGGACTATTTTCCTCATCTTTGTTGCCATATTTATTACAACGTTTCGGCCGTTGTACTCTCTGACCTTCTTCCGCTGGTTGTAATGTCGAACTGAACCCTTTATTTCGCTCCCTTGGGTAGACTGTTCTAGTTCCACGTGCCATGTCTAATGGATGTCAGTTATCAGTTATCCCCTGTTAATTCCCCTCTCCAAGTTCTCCACCGCCTTAACCAGGTGTTGAACTCACATTCACTGGATCCTGTCACTGGATCTAACTAACGCCTTTATCCACTGTGCCGTGTGCCCTTGATGTAAATAGTTTGCATAATACCTCATCCCAGAAATGTAGACAGATACAGATATTGATAAGTATTTGTAAGAAAAGGGTGTTTTCCCCCTTCAGCCTTAAATTTATTTCTATAGCACAAGTTCTAACAATAGATACCACTTTTGAAAAGATAAAGATTTTGTTTTTAGTCAGTAATGCGGCGGTTATATTGAATATTTTCTGAGCAAATAGACATAGTTGATTTGCGTGGAACCTAACAGGTATTGGTGCAGTAAGTACAAACGTCGAGTTCAAATTCCATCATTGTCTCCTGTGTTCATATGTACCCCTAAATACTATCGTGAAGGTCCTTTTTTTCTATCCAGTATGATTGTCTTTAACCATAGGTGGATCCCAGTTTAGAATGTGGCAACTCTGAATTCGAAACCGAAGATAAAACAACGGGAAAACTCTTTATTAAAATGTCATGAACATTCATAGATAATCAATGGGTAGGTGTGGTGAGCCATGACCCACTACCTCCTAAAGCATTATGGTATTAAAGAACTGCGTAAATTTGTAATTATGTCTGAAAGCTTTGTGAAAATATAGTTTTTCCTTTTCTCCTAAATGCGCAGTTGAGTTTATTACATTTACTTACGCGCAATTACAATTGGAAATGTTATGAATCCATGTATGTGAAAACAATTTTTTTGTTATTTTTATATATTTTTATTCATAAGTAACTATTCTTACAATCCAAAATGTGTTTCGGTTGTAAATGGCTCAAAAAGGGTTGATAAGACGTAAAAAAAACAAATCAAACAATGCAATGAATGTTAAGAAACATGGCCTAGAACAAGGAATATAAAATTTCATAGAATCATCCCCTTCCATGTTTAGATGAAGCTGTATGTACGCGAATGACGCAAAACGGTTATTGATTAGATAAACTAATTTGGAGAAAGGTGATCAAAACCTGTTTCAAGCAATCTTCTTGTTCTTGTAAGAAATTGAATAGATAAGGTGTTTTAATCATTGTGTATAGCTCATTCGAAAAACATCTCCCTGCGGCCTTTGACCTTCACTGGTTATCTGTTTAGTGCTTAAATGTAAGTATCCTCAGCAATGTCTTCTCTTCACTTCCGGTCACGCGGAATCTTGATCTCCCGTTGAACTTTTCCCACCCACTTTCCACCTTTTAGTTTAAGCCAAACATGACACTACACCAGCGTTTCTCAACTGATGCGCCTGGAAGCAATGTTGCGCACTGAAATATAGCCAAATGCATCCCAGAAGTTTAATTTATGAATTATTTTTAAATTAAAAAAAAAAAAATCTTTATATTTAAAATTCTAGAGACACCAAGCACAAAGCTTCCATGTCTAAGTCAAGACTTTCTCATTTGATATTTTAAAATGGTTGTTAAATTTCTTAATGTTTAAGAAGGAATGGCTAATCCTTTCCCTTTTGCCTTCCTTAAGGGATTTAAATCAATCGTTATCGACATTTCTAAATAAAATAGCAGATTCTTCATAAATCCCTTTAAATGGAAAATGTACAGCTAATCTTGTTAGAAATGTTAAATCAAAATTTCATATTTCCAAGTTGCATGACTAATTTTTCCTTAATAAAATTTAAAGTGCGCCTCAGTGATTTAATTATCTCCAAGAACGATCTGAAGTAAAAAAAAAAAAAATGTTGAGAAGTAGAGGACTACAGAGACAACAGGAACCGGATATGACGTGTATGAAAGTAAATGGCGATGTTCTCTCAAGATTCGATGCCGTTCTAGAATGTGTTACATAAATGTATAGTTCTACTTTCTCTGCGTATTAGATTTGTTTCTCTTCATGAACTACATTTAAATCATTTGATTCTGGTTTTATTGGATTTTATTTCTGTAATTCGCAGAAAGAACAAATTAATTTTTAAATCGGATTTTTCCCGCCATTTATTTGCATGTTTCTTCATGAAGTATTTGAAAGTATGAATGAAAATGAAAAAAAATTGAAAGTAATGACAAGAACTAAAACCTGAAATTCTACGTTACACTCTAGGCAAAAAAACAAAAAAAAAAAAAAAAACAAAACAAATATGAATGATTGTTATTTAATTTTGCATGTTAGGAAACGTTTTATACATAAATAAACGATATATGCAGAGTATATTTTTCGTAAAATTTTATTTGTTTTCTCTTGGCAATATGAGGATCACATTGGTTGGAATAGACGCCCTGCATTTCAAGTATGTCTGCAAATGCTGAGCTGGGTATCTAGGATCGAAAACTATGCAAATACATTGGATTCAATGAAAAAAGTGGACTTGTTGGAAACAGCCTGTATTGAAGGATGTTGGTCGGAAGGCATAGCTGATATTATATGTTTATTTATTTCATTATATATTTTTTGAGAAAGCTTTCTGATTGATTGGGCGAAAAGTGTCTTTGAGACTTGGCGATTTTAATTATCCTTCAAGTTTTAGAGATGGGAAAATTATGGACTTCTTATTAATTATATATTTCTCTATCATTAAAATCTCCATCTTCTTTTGAGGAGTAAAAAGATTAAGATTGGTGTTTAAGCTAAATCAGACAGTCGACTGTCATATTTTCACACAAAAAAAAAAACATAG